CTTTGTGGGTGTAATTTCCTCTAAATTCAAAAGCATAACAAAGTGACCTTAATATTAAATTGAATTATAAGGAATCAACAGTACTACCTCAATAATGTTTATTGGATATGAAATCATTGTACTCATCTTCAGCTTTCTCAAACATGGCCATGACTTTCTTATTTACCCTTTTCTCAAGGCTACAATAGGAAAAGAGGCAAAATGTCAGAATAAATCATTTTTGCTCTTAGGATTGCATATAAAATGCGGCTTGGTCTACTGCTGTAATTTAACAGCAAAGACGGCATACAGCCTTAAAAATCCCGCTACATTCTCACCCAGATTGTTCAGCTTGCAGTTTTTCGAATTCTTCCTGAGCCTTACTAGGATCACGGGAAGCAAAGTCATAATCTCATCCTGTTCTCCCAAAAAGTTGTTTTTCAGTTGCAATCCAGGGATGCTTTTCTATTACTTTTTCAACCATCAAAGCACAATCATTTTGATCCATCTCCACACGTTTCACCTACACAGAAACAAAGAAAAATATAGAGGGGTCCAGAGAAACAGGTATAAGAAAACATATTAACACCTCCCCTCTTTCTCCAATCTCTACCTCTCAAGGTCTGTCTTGCTCATTCTACGCTGAAGCCCCCTTTGCTCCTTGACAATGTTAATAATTTGTGAATCATGTTCCATTTTTTTTTTGGCATCCTAGCTGAGTTGAGCTCAGATTGGGCCTGATCATGATTATTTTTTAATGAAGCAACCTGCAAGAAAAAAGAAGGAAAATAATTCTTCATCCCCACTGTAAAGAAACATTATTTTATATAAGTGAATGTCAGTATGACTGATGTACCTTGGTCTTGCAAGAATCCACTTCCAAAGTAAGATCACTGATCTACTTAATCAAAGCATCCAACTGACTTTCCAGTGAAGCATGTTCTGTTTTAACTGCTTCCATTTCCATTATGAGCCTCTCCCTTTTACTCTCATGCACCTAGAAATATGGTCAACTATGAAACTACAGAGTCTAAATCCAGAAGTAATTTGATCAACAAAAGCATTTAATGTACATAAAATGTTTTATCCAGGTAATAGATTACATATAGAAAACGGAACAGCTAATGCAAATATACTTAAAATGTACTGACATCGGCAAGTCAAATGAACTTTACTTATCCAACAGAGAAAGAATAAGGAAAGGTCTACAAAAAGAAAAAAAAAAGAAACGATAGAGTTGTATGGAAAGAATAAGAGTGTCACATCATATATTTCAATGGAACAAATGCCTAAGGAGTAGCAAAAAGTTAGTAGCTGTTAAAAATTATATTGTTCAAAGACATTAAAATAGGTGTAGAATCATAGTAATGTAATGCAGTTACACATATAAAATGATCAAAAACTCAAGTTAGTATCATAAAAGACTATATTTAAATAAGAAACAATTAAACAAACCAACTTTTGGACAGCAAAACTTACGCATCCATTGTTCTAGCAAATTATTGGTCATAGTTATACGTAGCATTAATATTTTTGAAACATCTTAGAGTTCCTTTTTACTCAATGTGGAATATTTTAGGTCACTGAGCGCTCAAAAGTTGGTTTGTTTAATTCCATGACCCAACATGAATAGCTGCTTTAAAATCCCCCCCCACCATTTCCTGTACAAGGAGGTAAGGGGAATCAAATTTATGATGACAGATGCTGCTCCATTAGCCATTTCAATTAGTCATGTTAAGAAACTACCAATTACTGAAAACTAGCACGACCTACATGAGTATCCGTGGAGATGGAACCCCGATCACATTGAAAACTAGGAAGAATCAGTTATGATAAACCTTTGTGTCGTCAACCATAAGATAGTTGACAATAGCAACTCCATTGGAAGAATGAACAAGAACGTTCTTGTTCAGAGCCATAGTATCAAACTTCTTATTCATACATGTATGGGTGGTGGTGCAGTTGTGGTGGTGATTGGAGTAGTTGTAAGTGGTAGTGGTGGTGGTGGTGTACAGTAGATACACAGATCCGCGTGGAAATGGTGCGGTGGAAGCACCGATCTGGGTGGTGGTGGTGAAGTGATGTTGCAGCAACGTTATAGGTACAGATCTGCGTGGCAACGGTGGTGGTGAGGTGAGGTGACAGTAGTGTTTTTTGGTGGTATCGATGGTGGGAGGGGGTTTGTGACCAATTATTGGACAATTTGTGACCAACTATTGGATAATTATCATCAATAAAATGAATAAATTACTAATAAACAATATGTAACAAAAAATGTGTAATTGTGACCTACAATTTGTATTTTCATGATCGATGAATAAGTTGTGATAAATTAATTTGATCATGATCGAAAAATAATCTGTGACAAATTACTTTGATAATTTGGGACATTGAAATAAGTTGCGACACATAAAATTTGTGATTTGCGACAAAAAATAAGTCGCAATCAATTAATTTGATAAATTCAGATTGATAAATAAATCGTGACGTATAAAATTTGTGATTGTGTCTTTCTATGATTGTAATTAATACATAATTATGACCATAAACTGTATATAAACCTATTTATGACCTGATTTTTGGAAAATAAAAATTCAAGTTTGTCAAAGTTGAAATTGTATCTCTAAATATAGGTAATTATATATTTTTCCCATTCCACGAGAATCTTCAGCCAAAATTCTTTTCAGTTATCTCCACCGTATTAATCATTATTTATTTTATATAATTTCAACAAGTGCCTTGATCGTTGGAGTATAGACGACCGTCGAACCTTTTTCTGAACCAATCGCCTTTGCCTCTAACATGATGTTACTATGAAGACAGCATATGGGTGGACTGGGAGGTGGTCAGGAGATGTTGATAGTTTGATCTATAGGATTTTGAAGCCAATAAATGGTGGTGTTTTTTAGAATTCGATATGATAACCCCTAGAGAAAAATGTAAAAAATTCTTGAAATAGAAGAGAGAGAGCAATTCGAAAATAGTGATGGCAAGTTATGAATAATCGACTACTGAGTGTGATTCTCCATGAAATTTATAATTTAAACAATTTATAAGCAAGCTTTACAAAAAGTTTATAAAAAAATCACAGAAAATTTTGGAATGTTACATGTTAGGTTAAATTCTCACCATGATAGAATAGAACACAATTCTACTTAAAATGTGGCCGTATAAGCCCCACCACAAATGTCGTAGGGTTGAAACCCACTATGACGGTGGTAGGGTAAATTAAAATCCCACCACAAAGGTGTTGGGTAGAAATTGAACGACTCGATCAATCTCATGCACACAATTGTAAGGATCACCTTGTTATCTAAAATTCGTAAGACTAGATCCTTCTATCATTATATAAAATGTGTTACCCTAGATCTAATGTTTGAAAATACGGTAAGTGTCCAAAAATAAGTTAACCTAGATCCAACATCCAAAAATACGACACTTCTCGAAGATCTTTGCAGCACACCATTAAGTTGGTCTCCTATATATATGTCATTATCCTAAGGTGTTTTATAAAAGTGCTCACTCTCCTTTCCTTAAATGTAATAAGGGACGGAGTTATGATAAAAGAATTGTGGGACAAAATTTGAAAAACTATAAGAATTTTTTTTTTTTGAAAAATTTGGACAAAATTTTAAATTTAGTGTGGGGAAACTAACCTCATTGCTCGCACACCAAATCCGTCCCTAACTACATTAGTTACAATATTTATATCTCAAACTTGAACTAATTCTTACATCAGAGGTAGGATCGAACTTGAACCTGAATCGACAATTCGGGTTTGGGTTTGATTCCAGTAATTATAAAGATCCGAATAATTCATTTATGAAATATTTGAAGTATAATAAGTGATTATGTGTATTGAATACCTGATTCACCTCATGCTCAGACTTATTTTAGGCACATATAAGACACTCTTAAGATAATGACAGTTTTATGGGTTGGTAAATGGACAAAACCTTTCCGCATGGAATAAAAGAATATTCTAAAATATACGAAAGTAAACCAAAACTAAACATGAAATAAATGGGATAATATTTTCAAATATACGAAAGTATACCAGTTTTATCACTTCGTGAATTACCTATATTTTACCTGGCTTTATTGTCATTTCTTCACCTTTCTTTTGGGATCATGGTCATGGCTTTCATGCTCAGAAAATTCAGCTTTCGTATGAAATATCCGAAAGCATAATTTAATTGAATGGTTTCGTCTTCCATGTTAAAGATTCCTGTGTCATGGCCACCTCCACATGATCCATTGAATTAGAGCTCACAATTATCATCTGTAAAGTATATGCAATTTGGTTTGATACATTCTGACGAGACAATTGATGTAGATACATTACTACCTAAGAACAATGCTTGATCTCCTATACTAGTCACTTCAATTAATCCATATGCATAAAACTCCCTTCTTCATGACATTCATCTGGCCTCAAAACAGGAAAGCCAGTTGTATAGTATCTAGCTTTCTTTTCCTCTTTGTTGCCACTGTCTTCGACATCCTCCACCTCATCAACATTATCATTACTATCAACGTGACCCTTGTCCTCGTCATTATCATCACGATCTTCCTCTTCCTCACCATCTTCTTCTGCATCATCATCATCCTCAAATAAAAGACCCTTTCGGACAAGAGAAACAAGTAGAAGATGTCCTAATGATTCGGCTAGATACTTTTGATAAAAATCATTGGTTTCAATTGGAGCAGGGGCAATAACTGTTGCTTTTGGGCCATTGGCATCATCAAAGCCGCAAACAACTCCATGAACATCCACAACATAAAATTTACCATTGTAGAAAATAATATCTTGATAAGCGCAAGAATGGACAGAGATATTGGTCCAAACAATATTTCCTAATTTTGTAAAAGCCAATATAGCAACTTCTCCATAAATAGCAACTATAGTACAATCCTCATTATAATTGTAACGACCCGGGTCCCACTTAACGGGCTGTCCCGACCGTTAGATCGACGACGTACTGTCATCACTGTACCAACATGGGTCTTTTCAGCATACTTTGTCCTCACTAGCACGCTCCCCGAGAAAACTTCCCAGGGGGGTCACCCATCATAGAATTGCTCCAAGCCAAGCACGCTTAACTGTGGAGTTTCCAACGATGGATTTTCGGAAAAGAAGGTGCACCTTGTTGGTATGAGTAGTACCTATCAAATCTCTTAAACTTTCTTGGTCTGGGGTATTACAATAATCATGTCAACTTTTCTCCCTAAGAGGATTTGAGGACATTGCTATTTTATTAACAAAGAAATCCTAAACCTCTTGTGGCTTGAATTTCTCATCATATTCATACTGATCAGGGAAGGTCAGCATATAGGGGCTAGGGAAATTTGCTGTCTAGAGAAAGGGATCCCTAAATTGATTTGTAAATCAATGCCAATTGTCCACAACCATCCATAATGTGCTCCTGTGCACCTCCAGCCACTCGTTTCTGGCAACTGGAGTTGATATGTCTTTGAAGTTAATAAGTTTAGAAAGCAACGAATCGATGCATCTTGATTCTCTTGATCCTCGGTATTATTTTTTCAACAAGCATGATCCAATGATATCTTGTAGGCAATGAATGTTTCGTCATTGATTTCTAGTCTTTACAAACAACAGTAAAGGAAGTAAAATACACTATTACCGTTAAAACTTTGTGCGATAACAACCAAAATGTCCATTTGAAGATTGGTCCAATTTGCCATGTTCATCTATCAATTGCAGGCCATAAATTCAAGATAAAAATAATGAAATAAGCGTAATAGGAAAAAGATGATATTTTTAATCAGCCCCACAACTAAAATATATCCTTACGTTCAGTTATCAACTGCGCGACATAAGAAGATGATATTTCTCATTACAATAATTCAGAAATATAGTTTATTGTTTAGTTGGATTAGAATTCAAAATTATTGATAATTTAATTATGAAATACATCTAAGTAAAATGATTGAAAAGTACGTTAGAATATTTAATTAAAGATTAACATCAAACTATAGATTAACATTATTTACATATCTGTACTTCCTTCCCAGCAATCTAGCATAAAAGATTCATAATGCAGTTTACTTGAGTAATCACAATCCATTGCATAAACTCCAATTAAACAAGCAAATAAGTATTAATACTTGAGAAATTGAGAACAAAATACTACTGTAAGAAGAGTTGGCTGAAAATTCTTTACAATGTAAAGGTAATTTGTAGTTTACGGAAAATTGAAATACATGCTACTGTGACTATTTTCACCAAAATGTTTTATCCGTAAATTCACTTTTTTTTATGGACGATGAATTCTTTTTACATAAAAGGGCACACCACAAAAAGAACATCCAAGGTTCCGCCTTTCATAGATTACCTCACCACCGACCGTCAAAATCAAAGAAATACAAATCAAAGTATTTCTACCAGTTTTGATTAAATCTTAACATAAAATATACAGATTTGTAAAAATAAAAATCTCGAAATAGAGGAGAAAAAGAGTTATTCGAAAATAGTGATGGGAAGTTATGAATAATCGACTATTGAGAGTGATTCTCCATGAAATTTATAATTTAAACAACTTATAAACCTACTTAAAATGTGGCCGTATAAGCCCACAAATGTCATAGGGGAGAAAGCCACTATGACGATGCTAGGGTAAATTAAAATCCCACCACAAAGGTGTTGGGTTGAAATTGAAAGACTCGATCGATCCCGTGCACATCTTTCTGAGATGTACCCCATCTATAGAAGTGAACTGAAATCGATCACCTTGTTATCTAAAATTCGTAAGTGTAGATCCTTCTACCGTTTTACAAAAGGTGTTACACTAGATGTAATGTTTGAAAATACCGTCAAGTGTCCAAATATCATTATTTATGTACAAAAATAAGTTAACCTCGATCCAACACCCAAAAATATGACACTTCTCTAAGATCT